GTCCTCTTCGCTCCGACTGGCGTGGCCATAGTCAATAACTTTACCTGCCGTTTGAGTCACAGCAAGGAGACTCGGAACATCTGGAGAGCGTGAACGCAACCGTGTAGGAGTAAGCAGAGGTCCATCGTTGGTGTTGTGTGAGAACGATGATGACGCAGTGGCCACTGGTTTTTGCTGGCCAGACTTGTTGACTTGAATGTCACGCAGAATGAAGGGTAAAGTGTCTGGGGTCAGCTGATCATCTGGGTAGTGACTCAGTACTTCCAAGTCCTCGTTTGAAAGACCAAAACTGGCTAAAATGCTTCCTGCACTCTCTGGAGTGTAGAATCCCTGACTCTCACCGCAACTTCTACCTCTGTTACCCTGAGAGCCTTGGCCTTGAGATGACGGCGAGTCCCTTCCAGCTGTAGCCCAGGCAAGTAGAGCTTCTTGCTTCTGGTGAGATCCCTGCTGACACTGGTCATGATGTGGAGGACCAGCCAACAGTTGAGATGGAGGCTGGTAGCTGGACCAGTCTACTACTGGCTGCTGACCATGATGACAATCGGAGGTGAGGGTAGATGAACTGTAGTTTCCATGCTGACTGATCCCAGAAGCCACGTTTTGGTTCTGGTGTTGGTCTTGAGGACTCATCTGGTGAATGAGGCGGTGGTCTACGTCCCTTGATGCCCTAATTGAAAGGGCAGACTCCAGCTCATCCGGTAGCTGTGTGGGACGAGGAAATTGGTAACCTAACACCTGCGACAGAAGATCAGAGGAAGCATGGTTCGGGTTCTGCTGCTGATGCTGGTTTGGGTGTGGCTGCTCGTGAGGTCTGTTTCCATTTGAAAAAGACTGAGGCCTCTGTTGCTGAGGGTTAGGACGGTACATTGTTACAGAAGAAGCTTTTTTCCTTGGAGTTTTTCACTTTGTGTCCACGTTGTTACCAGAAGCCTTCAGCTGAGAAGACTCTGGAGGGTCAACTGACCCGGTAACAGCTCACCAAAAATACTGCTTCTGTTGTGTGGATAACAATTTTCAAAAGTTACATTCGTACGAAATGTGGACTGGAAGGTGGTTCTGAGTTTCAGTCGTTGCTGCAGCCCAAGTTTGAAATTGGTCGATCGGAGGTTGGCACTGGGATTGGAGTGAAGAGTCAGAGGAAGTTGAGAAAAACACAGTGCGGCTGTGAGGTGGAAGCAGAAATACACCATTAAAGATGAACAAACTTTACTTTATTCCAAACGTGGTTTGTTGGTGGAGTCCATTCAGGGAAATTTACAGTGATAAAAAGGAACCGTGGTCACTTTCAGAACTCATGAGTTTACTTCGGGTCGGAAAGGCAAAGTCACACGAATCAAAAGCAGTAACTAAAAACCACAGAGTAAAATCACTAGACAAAAAAGAGATTAACTTTCTAACCCTTCAGACCTCCTGAGCCCCTGCTGGTCATCAGGATAAAATTGTTTTCCATTTACTACCACCTCACTTCAGCAAAAAAAAACAGTCCACCCTAATATTTCTAAATAAAGAATGTTTATAATTAGGGCTTTTACTTTGAAAAGAACACAGGATGTGATGTTTGAAGTGCAGCACAGTTTAAATCAAGGCATGCAGCTGAGGTGTAAAGAAAACAGTGCCTGACAGTCAACACAGTGTTCACTCATTTTCTTCACTTATTCAGTGTTAGACATTTTACGCCAAATACAATCTGTTTACCACCCCCTATTGGCCTGGTTCTAAGCTCAGCAGAATGTACAAGTGTTTTAAGTATTGCACTGAACCACACACTAGGAAATGCACTGATAGCCTCATGTGCAGGTTACAAGAGGTCGCTGCCTTTGTAACTGCTGGTGAGAACAGTAACAGAGCGTTGAGCCGGAGCTTGTAAGCATTTATAGACAAAAACCCATTAGACGTGTCTGTCCTGTTTGCTCTAACTGGTGAGAGACCATAGACTGCGTGACCTAAACATTCAGCAGGTTTAGTGCAGCTGTCTTTCAACCAGATGGTTATGGGTTTGACTTCTTTGATTCGTCTCAAAGACTAGAGCAGAATTTTCATCTACTTCCTCTTTGAGCTCCTCTCATAAAGATCCACATCCAGTGGATGATCTACCTCCATCTCTGTGCCCATCTCTGCTCCACCTTCTGGCCACCACCCGTCATTCTACTTCATACACTCCCAACAGAAGTGGGGTTTCACAGAGGGCTGTCTGCTCATTTAGTTAACTTCACCTACTCACTGACTGTTGCAGTTTAGTGAGACTAACGTTAAACACGGACGTCTATACTGTCATAATACATGACCCCATGTCGCATTTCCAGCAGAAAAGCGCGCGCGTACACAGACACGTACTTACGAGTCTCTTTCATACACAGTTTCTCTTTCTCCTTCGCTCTCACACACACCCACACATACATACATACACATACGACTCAGCCATTTTGATCACATCGTTAGCTGGTCGCTTGATGCTAAACGCCGCAGAAATTAAAAGTCGCTGAGTTCCACCCTTTGCCCCATGGACCAATGGTACCAGTTACACTCGTATACCTGTGTATTCTGATGAAGGCGGACTTTCTCGTCTTTTGTTGTTTTTTTGTCGGAGAAACAGAGCCCAGACTTTACTTCCGTCGTCAGGAGCTACTCCTTCGTCTATGTCCGGTGAAATGTCTACTCAATGCAGATGTTGCTTCCCTCTACTGGTCTGACAGCATTAGTGAAATTCACGGCATGTTATCCGTTTCTGTACTTCGCCTGCATTTACATTACATTTATACACATATTTAATCCACACTATTTTTGTATCATATACTGAAAAGGTGCCAGGTTATAGGTATTAGAGTAGGAAATGCTCAGCATCGGAATGTTTCCAGGTGTGAACATTTAGATGTGATAATACTAAAGTCAGAAAGTGTCAATAATGTTCCAAACAGCTGATGTTAGAACCAATCACATTCAATAAACACTTTATTGATCCCTAGAGGGAAGAGAAGGAAACGTTTTGCAATGATGAAAAAATTAACAAATAACAGCAGGGACAGAAACTGTACAGAAAATAGTTTACATTTCTATGATCGGTGAAGGCCATCACAGACCACGGTGCAGGCGGAGTACTTGATCCTCTTGTACTCTGAACTATTACCACAAAATAGAACTACTTTCATTGTCCAAACAGAGTAGCGGTTAGCACAAGTTATTCATCGAAGAACAGTGGAGTGGCACTTCACTGGCAATTCACAATTCAGATTTTTCAATCCTAAAAAAAAAAATAGTCAAAAATATAAGATGACATCACAACTTATAAAGTAAAATAAAGTAGGTCTCTTACTCTTTACTGGTTACCAGCTGGCCCGGTAAGAAACAAGCAAATAAAAATTTTAAACGTTAAATAAAAGGTGGGTAGCTGGAGGAAACCCTAAAGGAGGATGTGAACAAGAAGGAGGAATTTTTATCACTGTAGAGGAACAAGAGGAAATGAAGAAGGAGCAGTAGAAGCTTTCACTACTGAGGTGGAGGAGGAGGAGGGGGTGGGGGAGGAGCAGAAGAGACGTCAGTGTAAGGGTGCCAAAAGTGAGGAGGAAAGGGAGCGGGTGTGGCCCAGGAGGGGTGGAAGAAAGACGGTGCAGCTCCTGGAGGAGGAGGGTAGAGATTGTAGGCAGGGGGAGGAAACATGGGAGGAGGGTAAGGACAGGGAGGAGGCAGACATGTGGGCGGCATCTGGTGGTGGAAGGCATGTCCATACGTTGGCTGTTTGCCCCCGTAGTTCCTCTGATTATGTTGTAAAGACGCCGAGTGTCGCGGCGAGAAAGTCCTGACGTCAGGATGTTGCTGCTGTTGCTGCTGAAAGGTTTTGTGGGTGATATGAGCCGGATTACCTGCAGATTAAAGGGCGAACAGTTGAAGTGATGCTGATCTTCATCACATAATCATTTTATGACAATCTGAAATATTCTGGACTAGAAATAAGAACTCTGTTTTAACACACTCACACCATTACAGACTAACCAGAAAAACCAGAATCAAGCAAAATAAACAAAAACAACATTTACCTGTGGTGTTGTTGTCTGGTCGTCTCTTCTTCTTCGCCTTTGTTTTGGCTTCCTTCTCTTTCTCATCATCACTGAAATCTAATGCCTGGATGGATGGATGGATGGACGGACAGACAGACACACACGCAGACATCATCAGCCTCAACCTGAGTTCACATTTTTTATGTCAACGTTTCACAGACAATAAATGTGTTAATGTGAAGAAAACCTCACAGAACTAAATTACTTAATAAACGCTTAAGGTTCAACATAAAAAGAAACAACCATCTTCCTCACCTCCTCTGGTGGTTCTTGGTCGTTTTTCCACGAAGCATCAGACCCTTTAAGACTGCAGCAGAGATAAACTGATCAGATGAAGTCATTTCAAACCAATAATCTGGGATTACAAACGCAGACGTCTCAGGTGTCATTTTACATCATTTCCCTTTGCTTGTGTTTACTCACAGTTTCAGCTGCTGCGTCAGGACGTATACCGTCAACGCTTCGTTTTCTGGAGCGTAGTAAAGAGTCAGACCTTCAGTCAAACCTCTGCTGCTCAGCTGCTCCAACGAACCGACTCGGAGAATGTAGAGTGGACTGGACACTGGGCCGAAGACCTCGAAGACCTGAGATGGTGGATTTGACAGAGGACACAGGAGGACACCGTGAAACAGAGACCAGGAGTTGAGAATTCTTCTCTGTATGCCAGCAGAGGGCAGTAGTCAGCTAAACCGGATTAGAGGACCGTTGCACTACCATATATATCATTAGGTTTGCCTTAAAAATTAAATTCAGCTTCACACATCACAATGTTGAATATGTTTCTTTAATAAGAATAACATTGAACCTTGAATTCAATAACCTTAAGATAAGATGAGTCAGGACTAAACCACAGTTAGAACCCAACTGAACTAGAAATGGAACAGAACACAAGTGTGAACAGACCTTTCCCACAGCCACCCTATCAGCTGTGAAGATGATGCTGTCATCACTGAGAGGGGGCGTGTCCTTGAGAGACTGAACAATGACTGAAAGAAAAATGAGAAAGAGTTGACATGTGTAAGTCAGTGTCAAGTCAATTTAAGTCAATTTCTATATTTACAGCCCAAATTGACATTTCACCTGAATGGACAGTCTTTACAATCATACAGTTGCACTCCAAGTCGCTGAGTTAGACTTTATTAATTATAAATAATATTGTAAATGAGTGTGAATGAGTATGTTCATACCCAGCTGTTTTATGATGCCACTGATTGTTCCCACAGGCTTCAGTTCTACATCATCTGGTAAAGAAATACAAACATCTTCCACAGCAGGCAGCTCCTGAAAACAAAAACATTATCACAAGGGATGTTAACGCTTGAAAAAGTAACTCGATTTCCTAGTTCGCTCAATTTTTAAGGCAACTAATTGACCCAAAGTCTGTTGTAGTCTCAACATCAGCACGATTTCCACCTTGTTTTCCCAGTGAAAATAGACCAGCAGGTGGCCCTCACAAGATACAGATCTAATACTAATGCCTGAAGAAGGAGAGAAGCTACAAACGTCTGTTTGATGTCAAACCAGCAGGAAACACATTATTTACTTCCTGAAATGTTACTTTTATGACTTTTTCAGTCTGACTTTGTCATGGGACAAATGACAGACTTGTTTTTTTCCTACAGACGATATCAATTATTTGGTCTTTTTGCCTGGCTACTAAAAAAAAAAAGTAGATTCCTGAGTTTACTGAGTTGATTTTAGGAAGGACAGTACCCAAAGAAAGTATTTACAATCAAACACTGACCTCTAGCAGAACTTCATCTCTGGTCCTCACTGGAGCACGTTGGCTGTAACCTTCATCATCATCTTCATCACCTCCAAACACTAGAGCAGGGGATGAAGAGGAAGATGAGGAGCTGTCAGAGCTGTCACTGAAAAGATTAAAGGGAAGAAAAACCAATAGACGAAAGTTCAAACAAATGTCTGAGAACCAGAGAGAACTGTTCTATTCTTACACTGAAGGACAAAATGATTTTAGTCAGTCCCAACTGAATATTTCTAATGAACAAAACAATACCTGTCAGAGCCTTCTGAGTCAACTTCAGTGCGACGCACAGAGTGGACAGGGGGCGCTGATGTGCCATCTTGCTCCTTTTCAGTTATTTGTCTGCTTTCTGATGACACAGCTGTAATGATGTCACCGGTCAGGTCTGTGATGTCAATATTCATGCCAGTGTTTTCACTGTTCATGTCTGTGACATCATTGTTCGTATCTGTGATCTTATTATTCGTGTCTATGTCATTCTTCATGCCAGTGTTTTCACTGGTCGTGTCTGTTATGTCATTATTCGTGTCTGCGATGACATTATTTATGCCTGTGATGTCACTGTTCATGTCTATGATGTCAATATTCGTGTCTGTGATGTCACTGTTCATGGCTGTGACGTCATTGTTCATATGTTCCACATCATTCTTCTGGCCGGGACCACTGTCTGTGTCTTTATCCATCTAAAGCCTCAAACGGTCATGTGTCCGTACTGACGGTCAGAAGAAAGCAGTGAAGGTTTGCTGTGGAGAATGCAAGGGATCTTATTAAAGACATATTTTAAATTCCAACACAATATTTAAGGAACTATTAAGTATTTACCCCTTCACAAACATTTTTTTACATGTGACGTTATGACTTCTCTCTTTTCCACATGTTTATATAATCTAAAAACAGAGTTGTTATTGGTCTAACTTGTTTTCTAATTGTTTTGAGTGGTCAAAACGACCCGCAACATAACCAATGTAGGTTTTTTTTCAACATAATGGGAGGGTTAAATAGTCTTCTTATTCTTCCAGGACATTCTACAACATACAAAAACTAAACAAAAACACATTTTACAACAGGAATGTTTTCCTGAGTGAACACTCAGTCAAACATTCTGTGGACACATGCACACGTGTTTACCAAAATTGAGCTAACTTGCAGCTAAATAAACTAACACCGTGACTACCACGTACCTGTGTCGGGACTCAACTCTCCGACGCGGTGACGTCTGTTAGTCTATAACTTGGAATGTAAGCGTGTAAACAAAACAACTTCTTAAATTGCACATAAGTGTTTGTACGCATGTATGTAAGACACGCTGTACGACTACAGGAAGTTGTCACAGTGAAAATACGATGATCACTTCCGCTTGTCTTCTTTGCTGTTGCGTGGATAATAAAACCAAACTATCGCCACGGTAAATTTACCAACAAAGTAAACATACAAACTAACGCAGTCAATATTATTTTTTATTTTTTTAATTTGAAGCGGACACCACGCAGCAGCTACAGAACTTAAAATTAATTTTCACGCAGCAGCAGCAGAAACGGAACAAGCCAAAAGTTTTAAATGTTCCACTCTGGTCCACCAGATGAAAGTAAAGTAACAGCGAGCAATATCGTCAATGCTGTAAATTACAGAATAAATATTCTGTCATATTTAAGGCTGTTTTTCTATTAATAAATATTCTCAATATCAGAAGAAAAATTATATATTCTTAATATATAACTGAATTGAGGGAAAACCCACAGCGTATACGTTTATGTGTGTAAGAAGCCTCAAAATATGTGACTAGTATAGATCCTTTCACTATAAAACAACATCCTGTTGTGAAGTACGTCGACTTTTTACATATAACTGCTGCTTAAATTAAGGCATTGTAACTTTATAATTTTACTGACTTGGCAATGCTCTGAACAATTACTAACATAAATTTACAGAATATTTTCTGGTAATGAAAATTAACAAAATAAAGGTATTCTGACAAAATTTGGCAGAATAACGAGGTGAACCCAGGAAGGCTTTTAGGAATTAAACATTTTCATTGCGAATCTTTTTTTCTTCTTCTGCTGTATTGCTCATGGTTAGTAGTCCTGAAATTTCAGACCTCAGTTCGAAACGAACACCCCCCTCCACACCCCGCTCACACACACACACACACAGGCGCGCAATGTCATTGTGTTTTAGATTTTGAGAACTTTAATTTTGAAGGTCGGTCAGAGTGTCAGACTCAAACTGACGCAAAGTCTGAGCGGATTTTTATTCTGCTGTTTCCTTATGACCGGGATTAGAACACACACAGACAGAGAGAAAGAGAGAGAGAGAGAGAGAGAGAGAGAGAGCGAGAGAGAGAGAGCGAGCTTATGTGTGTATGAAACTCCATCATTATCAGCAGCCGCAGACTAGGGGACGAACACGCACTGACTTCAGCTTTTTTTATTCAGATTTTCTTTATATTATCTCATTTTTACCATCAGCGTTTTTCCGTTTTATTACTGAGGAATCTGTGGAAAGTCCATTTCAGGAATTTTGTGGAGAAACATGCAGCTCCTGGGAAAGTTTTTGCTGCTGACTTTTTTGATTTACGTAAATTTGGCCAAAGAGCAAAGTGTGAGAGGGTGGGAGGAGGGTGAGGAGGAGGAGGAAGGAGAGGAGGAGGAGTTCAGACAGGAGAACATGGATGAGCTGGTGAGTCACTGACAGCATTTGTGTGTGTTTGTGTGCGTGTGTGTGCGTGTAGGAGGGGGTTAATAGTAGTAGAAATTAATTAAAAAACACTAAAAGTTTGACTTTGTATAGACTGTAATTAAAAATAATAACTAGTATCTGCACAACACCATGTAGAAATAGGATGATGAAAATGGAGAAGAAGATCAGCCTGTCTGTGTCTCTGAAGAGGAGACATTTGTATAAACAAACTGGTGTTAACTACCTGTCCTTGTAGTGTTGAAATACATGATTTAAAATACATGCTTCAAATGCCCTTCACTGATGTGGATGACTAGGGTACAACCTGCTACCGCTGCCCTCTGAGCTGCCCCTCCGTCTAATAATGACAGTTTAATGCACTTGGCCTCCGTCAGGTCTGAACCTGTGCCAACCACTCAGGGCTGTCTACACTGCTGCAGCAAATGGTTTACAATTCCTACATTGGTTCCAGGTCCAATGGTCTCACGTTACACTATTTCACTCCTAATGTCTGCATGTGGAAGACCGAGGTTTGGTTCCTGGAGACCTAAAAGTGAAGAAAATCAACATGGCTATACATTTGTACTGAACCACTGACTGACTGAACATGAAAGGGAAAACCCCACAGTCTGAGATATCCCAGCATCCTCCACTGAGCTGATCCCTCCTGGCCATTGATGTTTCTGATGTTGGTTTTCACACATTGCAGTTCTATCAGAACTGCACTCAGTTATGATTAGATTGAAATCAGGACAGCTTCCATCACCTCATCTGTACTAGTCTATATCCGTATACAGAGACGGTGTGGGCTGTAGACTGTGGCCCACTGGCCGTAGGCTGCAGCTAACTGATTGAAACACAGCTCCTTTTGTTCATCTTTCAGACACCACAAAGTTTCCAAATATTTATTTTTAGTAATTTAGTTTTCCACTTAAGTTGTTTTCTCAATTTCCTGTCTTTTGCCCGATTTCCTAATCGTCGTGATTCAGCAGAAATTTGTTGTAATGTTGAAAATGTGTGTAACCGAGGTTACGTTCAAGTTCAATTTCCTGCCTTGCCAATAGTCAGCAGTAAATCATTTCTTTCACTCCCCAATGAATGAATGTCCTGTTACTGAGGAGGTTAAAAAACAAGTTAATTGTCAGCACTTTTAAATCCAACTTTGTTTCTCCTAAAAAGGCTTGTGAAGTTATGATAAAAATAAAGACAAAGTACTGTTTGTTAATATACACACACACACACAGGGTTGTCTTGTTGTGTTGTCTGATTGTTTGGTCCCAGCCATTGTCTGCAGGTTATTATTAGAACAGCGTAAATATACGAGCTGTGAACCAGGAAGTGAGATAAGATTCACATACAGTCCGTGGACGTCTGACAGATGGACATCAGGATTCTGTTTCCTGTCAGATTTTTTTTCTTTGACCTCTGTCTAACTTTACCTTCTCTAGAACTTTCCACCTAAACCTGATGTGGAGCACAGATTGCGCCTAGCCTCCAATGTGGATGAGCTCATGAGTCTCATCTACCCGTCGTACTGGGCGGCTCTGAAGTGCAGATCCAAACTCTCGGCTGCAGGTTCTTCTGGAGCCTCCAGACTGTCCCAAAGTTCACAGCTCCATCACACCGGACCAACAGAACCAGCAGAACCTGCATTTGCTGCAGCCTTTCTCAACCTAGATGTCCTGAAAAGTAGGTCCTCACTCGTTTTTATTTCCCTTGATCTCTGCAGGAGGCACTGTTCCTGTTGCTGGGAGCCAGGTGAAACTGGGATGCGTGTTTTATGTGTGTCTTTGTGTGTGTGTGTGTGTGTGTGCAGGTATAGAGTCAGAGTGGAGGAAAACTCACTGCACTCCCAGAGAAGTTTGCGTGGATGTGGGCAGAGAGTTTGGAGCTTCAACCAACATCTTCTATAAACCACCATGTGTGTCCGTGTACAGATGTGGAGGCTGCTGCCACTCAGAGGACAAACAGTGTCGGAACATCTCCACCGGGTACCTCAGTAAAACTGTAAGTTCCACTATCGGTTCTCTGCAGGAACTCCTCCAGTGTGATCAGGATCATCAGTAATCTGAACCAGATTAAACAGCAATCTGACTTACACTGTATTCTGAATACACAGTAATCTGAATGGTTGTTGTGTTTGTTGTTAATAGACTGTCTGAGCTCAGTGCGTAAGCACTCGGGTTGTTTGAGCTCAGCTGTTTCAATCACTTCCTGTTTGACTTTAATGAAGTGAACAGACTCACTTTCTGAGGTAAGAGTCTGGAACCAGTCTTGACTCCTGATGGTAACTGATTTCTTTTTTAAGAAAGAGATTCTGATCATCAGTCAGGGCTTTGGGTTGTTATTGTGCATGAGGAGGGAAACCTAAATATTTCATACTTGATCTTTTCCACTCAATTCAGATAAATAACAGGAATCTGACTCCGAAACATGTCATTTGTTTTGTTTGAGTCTTGGGATCCAATGTGGACTGAATGCACTGGGGGTCTTTGGAACTCTCCAGGCTGAATGGTGCAGCACTGATGATCACTTTGTCCCTGTGGGGATGCAGTAAAGGTTTTTTGGGGGGGATTAGGATTAGGCTATGGATTAGGATTGGACATATGGGATGATTAACATTAGGATAATGGGTAGGGAATGTACTATGTCTACAAAAATTATATGTGTGTGTGTGTGTGTGTTCAACTTCATTACCGTTAATCCCAAGGGAAAAGACTGAGTGGAAAAAGAGACTCTTGAAACTCTGTGAATTTCGTTGAATGGAATTACTGGACTAATGACCTTCTTACTAAAGACTGTGACTCAGGAGCTGAAGTGGTTTCCATGCAGTTCTCTTCTTCATCTTTGTCTTCATCACCATCATCTTCATCATCATCATCATCACACTCCTGTTGTTCAGTTTGTAGTCCCAGCTCTCAACTGCCCCCTCTCTGTTGAACCTTACATTCCTGCACATTCTTTCCTTTCTCATGTTATGGTTCTTGTTTTTTTCTGTTGTTCTTAGCATATTTTTCAGAGCTGAAAGCTTCAAATGTAACGTCTGAGCTGCACAGTCTTTCAAGAGGAATGGAATCTTTTGTTAAAGAGATTTTCTGACAGGTTTCTTTGTAAACAACTTGAAAAAAGGAACCAGAGAGTATCACCAGCTCAGAGAAAGTTCTTACTTTTATGATCAAACTGATCCAGTTGGTATTTCTGGGGTTTTCTTCTTCACAGTGTTACTGTCAGTGATTGTAATACTATATGCTTGTATTCTATTATATTTATTGCATTTTATCTATTATATGTTTTTACTGTTGTCTTGGTGCTGTACTGCTGGAGCCTATCTATCTATCTATCTATCTATCTATCTATCTATCTATCTATCTATCTATCTATCTATCTATCTGTCTATCTATCTGTCCGTCTGTCCGTCTGTCCGTCTATCCGTCCATTCGTCCATCCACTCATTTGATCTTTACTGTTTTGCTTCTCCAAACCCCATCTTTATCTTACCCACTAATCACATTCTGTGTTCTGTTGACCTTTGTCCGTCTGACTGTTGATCCTGTTGATTTGTTCCGTTGCAGCTCTTTGAGATCACAGTACCGATCACGCAGGGAACCAGGCCGGTGACCATCAGTGTGGCCAACCACACACAGTGTCGCTGCCTGTCCAAACTGGACGTCTTCAAACAGGTTCACAGCATCATCAGGAGAGCACTGCCTGAGTGAGTATCATTGTATCGACACCTTGGCTGTTGCAGGTTTTATTAGTTGATCTACTGAACAATTATTATTATTTTTATTATTATTCACTAACAACAGGGAATTTCACTGTGTGAGTCTTTGCAACCGACACAGGTTGCCAGATCTTGGGAGAATTGAACCCATGATTCTATGCTCCCTGTTTGTAAGGCAGACATACTAACCGCTACACTACGGAACCACAATGAAGTTGACAGAAAAACTCAGTGATTTTAGCCCTCTGGGAAACAGCAGTTGTTGATCCTCTCCTGTCTCTATCACTTAATTCAGATGTCTGAGCTTAAAGCAAAGAATTCCTTTTTCTTTACTCTTTGGTCAGCAAGCTAAAATCACAGATTTTTTTTATGGACTTTGGTGTTAGACATCACCGAATGAAGTGGGCAACTATGTGTCTGAATGTACACTAAAGTCTTTCCCCTGCATTCAACCCATCCATGGGGAGCAGTGTTTGGTCTCTGGGGAACAAGAGAGTTCTTTGGTTCTAGCTCAACGGACTCCAGCTGCAGCCAGGGCGAGATTTGAACCTGCAGTTGTAACAAGGCAGATGCTCTTAAAACTAGGCCTCGAGCTGTCCCCTGATAAAATCAATTTATTTAAAAAATAAAATAAATTCATGCATGAATGAATGAATTGTCCGTTATCACTACTTTAGATTAGCTCTTGCTAACTACAGAATTACCCATGATGTTCAGTTTCTTATTTGTACACTACATATTTAAACTACATATTTTGTACACTAGCATTTTTCACAGATTGGTTAAAATGTGGGTAGTAGTTTTTCTTCTGGAGCAGAGCTCTGGTCTCAGTTTTTTTCAGGAGTTACTTTCCAGGCTGTGCTGATGAACTTCTCACTTCTATCATTCGTGTGTGTGTGCTGATACATGAGCTGTGAGCTCACACTGTGACAGTCGGGGATGTGAACAGGAAGTTCTTCGTTATGTTTTCTTTGGCTTGACTCTTTTGAAAACACAGAGATGTTCACACTTGGAAGAAGCTGAAAAAATGGTGCCGAAATCATCCAGGAGACAAAAAGAGAGGCAGAGAAAAGTCTGTCCTGAAAGTTGTCGGTTTCAGTCAGGTGAGCCTGGCAGCTGAGGTGAAGGTGATGTGAGTCAGGGTACTGCAATCATAAACTTGTTTTATGTTCAGTGTATGAAGTGCGACCTTCTGGCCGACTCATCACTTGTAGATGAAAAAAATATGAAGATTTTATTGATTTCTTTTACTTAAAAAATACAATCTCAGCACGGCGCACCAGACAGAGTCACAGCTGTCCCTAATGATCTGGACACACAAATTTCCCATGTCAAAGGGCATGTTTAATGGGGCAAAAATCATTGCAGAAAAACAAAGGATGAAAAAGAAAAGAAGCGTGTTTACCTATAGTAAACAAACAGAAGGGTCATGTGACCTGAGCACGGCAAACAGAGTAGTTATCACTGGCCCCGTCCACTCTTGTCTGAGCACTTTGATGATGTTAGTATCTCTAAAAATCAAAATCGACATTTTATTGCAAACCGGGCTCTTGAAAATGAAAGTGAAAATGATTCATTCTTTCAAATGATGAACAATACCAAACACCAGATACAGTAGTAGGAACTACAAACAGTTTCAAAAACCAGAGACGGGAGCAGGATCTCCAGACGTCATTAGCTCCGCCTCCCTTCCTTTCTTTGACTGCCCCGCCTACACCTCTCACACTGAGCGATGCAATGCAAGAGGCTAGAAATGAACAGAGAGTGAGGTTAAGGTCGAACTTTATTGATCTCATACTTGGGAGATTGTCAATGTCTAGCCTCTCGCTAGATGGCTAGCAAAAAGCTAGGGATTGAGGTTAAGGTCAAACTTTATTGATCTCATACTTGGGAGATGATACAAGGAGCAGAGGCAACGGCCGCACAATAAAGAATTAACAGATTACAAAAAGGTCTAAAAGAAGCCAAGATATTAAGTCAAGGAAAAGATACCATTGAAAAAAGTACAGTAAAAAGAAGCAAGAATAAGAAAACTAGTCTCAGTGGCTTCATGACCCATGACGAAGTGGAAGAATGCATGGAGCTGCTGCAATAGGTGACCACTCGGGCGGCGCCATCTTGGATGTCTGTGTTTGTATTATATTCTCATGCAGTGAGATAGTGATATTGTAATATCAATACAGCTCAATACTCAATACTCACTCTTTTCGTTCTGATGCCATTTTGTGCCCAGTGTTCATTTGGACCATATCACCCAGCTCTAGAACTGCTGTTTGTAAATGATTGACTCTGCTCCGAAACAGACATTACACTGATGGAGCCACCAGGTCCAGGTTTCTTCAGAAACATTTTAGTGCCACCTCTGGACACAATGTGAACACTGTGTGTTTTATTTCTCTCAGATTAATCATGTCCACTGAAGCTCATTTTTCTCCTTCTCTGTGTGAAGGTGTCCTGAAGTCAACCGGACATGTCCTCCAGGTCAGGTGTGGAGCAGTAGACTCTGCTGGTGTGTTAGTGTCCCCACTAACCCTCCGACACCACCGCTCTCTGCGTCCAACTCTGCCTCCCAACAGCAGCAGCGTGAGTCCAGTGCCATCTTCTGTCACACACATAACTGCACTGAAAACCACTGTCAATGATAATCATATTTAGAGAAAAAGCAACAACAAAAGACACATGAGAATTGAAATTAAGTGGTGCTATTTCAAAGACAACAGTGGACATCAAGGTCAAGGTGAAGGTCTTGTCAGGAGGTTTAGACCCAAGACCAAAAAATAACAATGACATAAATACATGCAGAGGCAACACGAGGTTAGTGAAAAGTAAAAAGTTTAGAGTAGTAAATATAAAGAAAAAAAAATGTGTGCTGTGTGTGAATGTGTCGGTGTGTGGACCAGATCCTCACACATGATTGGTTTCTCTGTCAAAGTTCAGCATCAGTCTGAGGGAAAATCTGAAGAATCTGCCGCTCCACATTCTTCCGCTCTCAGTGTTTACACTGAGTCCATACACTGTTGTTTTAACTTAGCACACACAGACACACACACACACAGAGGAGCAGAATCACTGGGACAGAGCGCTATCACTAGACTGAGCACCGATCACGCTATTACTTTGTAGTCTGGATATTTTTAAAGATGGATTTAGGATCTGACCATCTGAAGACATTTTATTTTGCATTGTTAAATATTTCTGTCAACGTTAGTCACTACAATAGCTTTTTATGAGTGTGGATAGATAGATAGATAGATAGACAGATAGATAGATAGATAGATAGATACATAGATAGATAGATAGATAGATATTGTATTATATGGATAATGTATTAGATAGATAGATAGATAGATAGAGAGATAGATAGATAGATAGATAGAGAGATAGATAGATAGATAGATACATAGATAGATAGATAGATAGATGACGTCAGCTTAAGTGACATTCAGGTGTTCAAACAGAACGTGGGAAGAACGATTTCCCTGCACACAAACAGTGTTGGATGGAGAGATGGATGGATGGATGGATGGATGGATGGATGGATGGATGGATGCACAGAGAATACTGAGAGGACTGTTGTCATGATGTAGAAGAGTGTTGGTCTCTTTGTGTCATGTTTGGTTCGTCACCTTTTCATACTCATGTCACCTTTTCCTCATTATGCTCCAGAGGTCTTCTCTTCAGACGTCTGCGGTCCGGATAAAGACCTGGACGTCGAAACCTGTCAGTGTCTTTGTCGACGGCGAGATCAGGACTGCGGTGCTGGGCGACACTTAGACCGCAGCACCTGCCAGTGTGTGTGCAGTGTCCGGTCCAATGGTGCTTCTTGTCCTCCCAACCATGTCTTCAACAGGGACACATGTCAGTGCACTTGTATAAAGACCTGTCCCAAAAGCCAACCCCTGGACAAAACCAAGTGTTCCTGCCAATGCAACGAGTCGCCCAACAAGTGTTTCCTAAAAGGAAGGAGGTTCCACCAGTTGTCCTGCAGGTAAGACATCTGTCCGCCGCAGTTCACATGTGTCGTGGTATGAAGACATCCTCAGTCTGAGGTTTTCTGTTGCCAAAGCCAACTAGCAATGTAGAAACCTTATATCCGATTAGAGGGATGGATAAAGAAACTAACTAAACTAACAAAAACCAAAGGAAAACTGAGAGAACAACACAAAAGGAATCAGGACGAGATACAAATAAAAAAGAGGGCGAGTGAACGGTAAATACATACTTTAGCATGTTTGCCTTTGGTTTAAATGTTCTGCATCAACTTAGTTGAACCAAAAACCTTACGAGGTTCCACCACATAGAGGAGGAAGTTCCTCTCACTGCAGCAGTACGGATCGACTTCTACCCATCCATTCATGGAGGAGGAAAAGACGTTGATTTAATGACCTGTCACAGCTGCATCATCAACTGCGTAAAACTGTGAGGGAGAAGAACAAGAATGTGGAGGTGACGACATGTTTCCCATGGAGACTTGGAAGTTGTCTTTGGAGGAGAGGAAACGTTTTCTTTTATGTTCGTTTCTTCCTTTTTTCAGGGTGTGTTAACAAGCATGCTATTGATGCATTGTTTTCTTCTACTTACTGTTTTAATGGATACACACACACACACACACACAAATTTGGCAGTGGTTGTTATCGCAGTCAAACTTGTGTGTAATACAAGAGCTCAGTCTGCTAATGACTTCTCCTGGCTGTCACTTAACCATTTCCTGTTCACTGCTCAAGAGGAAACACACACACACACACTCACACACACGTTCATTCTGTCCACTCCTGACCTTTACTGACCCTGTTTGAGGATGATTTATGAGGCAAACTTAGCAGCAGGAGTCTGGGATCTGTGTGTGTATATATTCCATCATGGGTTCATAGGTCTCGTCATAAATCTGTATCTAAATCTTCATTTCGATTAATTTTAAAATAGTGACAGAGGCCATAGTGGACCAACAGCTTCTGTTTCCCTTCTGTTCACTGAGCTAAAATCAGTGATTTTCTCTATGGACTTTGGTCTGTGAGCTAAAATCACTGATTTTCTCTATGGACTTTGGTCCGTGAGCTAAAATCACTTATGTTCTCTATGGACTTTGATGTCTGAAACTTTTCCAAATCAAACTCAACAGTGACATAATGATTATTTCTAACATTCTTATTTAAACCTTCTTCATCCAGAGCCACCACAGAACTTTTGTTCTCAGCATCAGGTTTGAATTCTATTCATCTCGTTGTCGTTTCCTTCTGGTCCTAGTTGTGTGCGACCTCCCTGTGATGTCCGAAGACGAAGGTGTGAACCCGGATTTTCCTTTAGTGAGGAAGTGTGTCGATGTGTTCCGTCCCACTGGAGAAGACTGGATTAATCACTGGAGAAAATCAAACACTGGGGTGAAAGCTGGTAGAACTGTGGGTTATCGTTGCTCCCCCAGCTTTGAGGAGAGCTTCATGCCTGGATTCTGGAAACCCTTGGAAAACCTGTCCAGGTTTGGAAGACTTTAAATGCACTGACAAAATGTTTTGAAGTCCAGGATTAGAAGAAAGCAACTGGAGCAGAACCGACAACATTTGGGTTGACTGTTGGTTAACATAATGTTTGTTTGTTTCCTTGTTTGTTGTGTTAATGATGTGTCTTTATTCTAATGTCAAATATAAATGATATAATTTATTAAAAAATTTTCAGCCGGTGTTTATCGCAGTTTTTACCCTAGCTTTAAAACACACTGTGATGTGTTATTTTTTTTCTATTCTGATACAAAAACAGAATAAATAAACATTTTTTAATTGTCTGATGACTGTCCACTCAGTAGACCTGAAGAGTTTCATATTCTAGTTTCATCAGCTCATGTTTGTCACTGCAACAGATTCTGCTCAGAACTGAAAAAAAATCTCCAATCTGACCAGAACCCATCTGTCACTCCGACTGCACAGATCACTCCTGTCCCATGTTACATCCTGCAGCAGTATTAACGATACAGAACCACAGCTCCACTAATGTACATCGCATCCTTTTATAAGATACATCCATTCACCAGACCTCCCTTCCAGAAGGTGTCGCTCTTCATCCTCCATCAGATTCAGATTATACACAGACGTCTTGATTGGAAACAAAACTGCAGCTCACTGATCTGACTCCCTGTCCGCACCTCATCAACTCTTTCCTTGACCTTCATTGTGTGGTTGATCTCATTCCTACTTCTTTTTCAGCCTTACTATCCCTTATTGTTCTTCGTGTTTTTTTGTTTTTGTTTTGTTGTTTGTTTTTTGTTAATCTGTGTTCAGGGTCGGGGCCTGTAGAAATGACACGCCAACAGTTCCAATGAAGTTCTGGAGTAGTACATTTACAGTGTCAACCAAATGATTTTCGTCAAATGTTTCTGCTTTGTTTTAGTTCCCAAGAAGCAAAGGTGGGACGATAACACACGCGCACGCACAAACACAATTAGGGTGGACAAAAACAATAACATTTAATCTTATCAGCAGCTATGTCAGCTTCCTTTCCTATAAATGCATGTCTTGTGTGTGTGTGTGTGTGTGTGTGTGTGTGCCAGTGTGAGAGCGTGAGTGATCCACGTAGAAGCTCACAGTTCACACCATATATTACGCCAAAGTCGAGAATTAACACGTCCCCTCCCTTCCTGCCATTCAAGTTCTGTTTGACTTGTGACCTGTGTGTGTAAGACTGCCTTTTCTCTCTCTCTCTCTGTCTGTGTGTGTGTGTGTCTAAGTGAATCATGCAATTGTTTTTCAGATCAAATCAGACAGTCCACTTGTCAATGATACGGATCATTTAGTCATGTTTTTCCACCCAATTATCAACACATAGGTTCCCTTTCTAAACCGAGAACCTTCTAGAGGACATGGTTCAATGTTAATGCACACACACACGCACACTCATACTGGTTCTGTGCATCTTCCATGGGTCGCTGATATTCAAAGTTGACGAGCTGTGAATAATTTGAAAGGAAAGGTGCAGAAATTAAAAACATCTGTGTGTGTGTTGTGTACATGTACGTTTATGTGTGTGTCACTAACTGGGTTGATTCCATAGCAACAGTTCTACCTTTTTGGTGGGAGCCCCACCTACCAAGTCGCAGACCTTTATCAATTAGTCTGGATTAGGTTGAACCACGTCTGGCACATTTACAAGATAAACTGTGCCAGACTTGGTAGCAGCAGCGCCTTCTGCAGCTCTAAAGTTGACCACGGTTCTAGACCTAGCTGTCGAAGACGCAGAAGTTTATTTCCATCCATCCATCCATTTTCATCCTCTTATCCGTTTCCGGGTCGCGGGGGCAGCAGTCGCCACCCAAATCACATTGCACCGTACCAACCCTTCCTGCGGGTGGTGAGTCCACTGGAAGGTACTAACCGCCCTAACCGGGATTCGAACTTGCCCAGGAGGTGAACCCTGAGGTTCCACACCAATGACAGAGACATTGCCTCTGGGCCAAAGCGCCACGCTGAAGTTTAATTATTATTTTAAAACGTCATTATTGACTATTATTTTAATAATAAATGATGAACTACTTACGTTTTTTTTCTTTACTTATTTGTGGTGTAGTCTTTAATATTTGACATTGATGTTTTTCAATTAATATTTTCAATTATTTTTTATGTATTTTAACGCCGCCCTTGTTCTATGATCCGCAAAACTTAGTGTGTTCCATTTTTCTATTTTAACCAATAAACTAAAATCTAATAATTTAGCTACACACGCCTGAGTCGAAAGTACGAGTAGGAAAAATAACCTAATCCTTCTGAATCATAGCAAGAAACCAAGTCCAGTCTCACTTTCGATTTTGAAACCTGCAGTCAATTATACCTTGAGCCAAGGACGGGTCTCTTCTACCACCTGCTGGTCACAAAGAGAGGCTGCTGCTCGCTTTTGTTTGATAAACCAACTTGATACTGATACCAATCAGTTTGGTGTAGCCCGAACAAGATCTTAGCTGTAACTGTTTTCAGACCTGAAGTAGACCAGGACTGTTCAGGCAGTTAACCAAACTGGACCAGGCCTTAGTGAATCATTGAATGGGTTTCTATTTCTGGCAGAACCGCGGGAAGAATTGAAAACCGGAACCGGAACCAGAACCTAAAAAAGTTCAAATCAACCTGGACAAAATTTTCGACCTAAACCTGAACCTTGCCCCATACTAGAAACCAGAAACTGAGAACAGGAACTAATAACGGCATCTTTTTTATTTTATTGTTTAGCTTTTCCTTTGTTGTTGTTAGATTTTTTTATTTTTTTAGACATTGATCTGTTTCTGTATTGAAGCCCATTATATGTATTCTACTTTACTTTTTCTGTTAACATTTGAACAGAAATTGTACTGTGTTTAAGCATGGATGTTGTGTAGCTGCTTTGTTGTTAAAATTTCTGTTGTGGGTCGTAAATGTGTCTACGGGACCTTGTGTGTGTGTGTGTGTGTGTTCATGTGTGTGACGGCCAAAGGTTGGCGCTGCCGCAGCAGAGTTTGATCAGTGAGGAGCCGAGATGAAGAAAACTCGGGAGTGAATGTCAAATGTAAATCAGCTCAGAGTTGTTAAAGCGCTGAGTGTGAAGAGAATCAGAATCAAACACGTTCACGTTCACAGCTCAATGACTCTGAGGCTGGGTTTATACACAGAACCGCTTCATGTTCTACTGGACTGGAACTTTCTGATTGATCCCAGTACAGGACGTTGTGTTCATGGCCTGTCAGTTACGTGCACGCTGGCGTTCTGAGCAGCCTACACACATCACAGACCTGTCTGTTACACACACAAACACACACACATACACACTTGCTGCTGCCACGTTCCGGAACATGAAGACAAGAGATTTTCTTGGAAAAATAATCAGCTTTGTTTCTCAAGACAGACAGACGGAGAAAATTATTTTGGTTTCCCTTTCTTTATTTGATAAATATGAATGCAATCAGAACCTGATCCAGAAAAATGTGGACTGAGTCCAGTTGGTCTTGAGGTTACATCCCATTTTCTTAAATCTGATCTAATGGTTGGCAGGTTCCTGATGCGGTTCTGCTGGACCTGGTAAAGTCATGTGACCTTTACATATCTGCACCGATCCTAAGACTTTTTTTTCTTTGGGCAACACTGTCTTTTTATTTTTCAGAAATTCTGAGATAAAAAAAAACACTATGTTTTATTATTCGGGGATCTTCACAAACCTGATTTCCTGGTGAACTTTAAACACACTAAAGTTTGTGTGTTTTCTGCACATTATAAGCTCTGACTGGTCTGAGCAGGTTATTCAGATCAGAGTGAGACGTCCTCTGTATTTTCATTCACCTGACTGAACTTTTTTGCTCAAGTCCACAAATGGGATCAAGACTTTTGTAGTTTTCCGTCCAACTGCAATCCTTTGTTTGTCTGTACTGTTACGTGGTGTTTGTTTTTGTTTTGTAATTTTTTCCTCGCCTTTGGCTCAGTCTGAAAGTGAAGACGCTTTGACTTCAGCTGCTGCTGCTGCTGCTGCTGCTGCCACTGACGATCGTCAGGTTTGTGCTCACAGGAATGAAACCAAACAAGAGACACTTGTGGTCACCCGACCACACCCACCTGGAAGTGTCAGGATCAGATCAGACCTGAAAACCTGGATCAGTCCTAGTATTTCGTCACTGCTCTCACCAACATAGAAAAGACTGTTGTTAGAACAACACCGTTCAGTTAATTCACCATTTCTAACACAACTACAGTAAATATTCAAATGTGTCAACTTTTGAATTAGTTTGACTAACTGTTACTGTTGGATATATTTGATCTGCATTTCATGGTCCCCACATTCATAATCATCGTCATCATCATCGTCATCATCGTCATCATCACAGGTCAGTAGGTTTGAAGCAGGTTGGTTTGGTTTTGTAGAAACTCATTGACTATACGAGTCACACGACGTTTAAATTCCTCCAGAACAGGTGAAGCAAGTGTGTGTGTGTGTGTGTGTGCACTTATAAAGAGGACACCCACCCCAAACCCTGGCACTCGCACTCTGTAGTCCTCTCTGGTCCAGCGGTTCTGGACACTTCAACAGTCATTTGTGAACATTTGTGAAATGTTCAGGACCACTGAATCAGAGTGAAGGAGAATTCAGCGGGAAACACCCCAGCATCGGTACCAGCGTGTGGACACTATTATCAGGTGAGCCGTCTTGCTGGAACTGTTTTACTTTAATGCCCTGATTTAAGGGACAACCTCTGTGGTGTTTTAATTCTGAGGACGTGTTTTGTTATTTGTTTCAGTTTTCAGCGATTAAAAGGAAGAAAGAAAAAAAAAGCCTGAGGTTCAATGATTGACGGCCTCTTTATTTCACCTGCACCACTGATTTTGCATCACTACCTGGGTAAACAAATATTACATTTTTGTTTACCTGCTATAAATGTAGATTCTTTTTTTTTTTTAAATTCTGTTTATCTTACCTTTTGATTTGACTGGAAATTCCCCTTGACATTAAGACTCTTGGCAAAGACCTGGCCAAGGAAGGGCCGATCATATATACATATATACATATATACATATATATATATATATATATGCATATATATATATATATATATATATATATATATATATGTGTGTGTGTGTGTGTGTGTGTGTATGCATCTAATAAATGCAACATGATCGGCCCTTCCTTGGCCAGATAAATATATATATATATGTAATAAATGCAACAAATGTGTATATAGTGTATATACTGTGTGTATAGGGTATATAGTGTGTATATAGGGTATATAGTGTGTATATAGGGTATATACTGTGTATATAGGCTATATCAGGAGGATTTGCTTTGAAAATATTCTAAAATATTATTCCATTTCATCATATCACTTTTGAATTTCTTCACCAGATTAGAATTACATTTCTCAGCACTTATATAAGAACAGCCTTTCAATCATCGTGCCATAACTTAAGGCATATAAGTTCTTAGATTGTCAA